CGCCGAGCCGGCCTCCGCTCCGCGTCCTGAGCCGCGGTGGTCGCGTTCGCTCGCTTTCTGGCTCGGCGGGCCCTGTGGGCGAAGCTGCTCTGATTTGTAAGCCGTGGTTGGCAGCTTAGCATTATGCGTAGGCTAAGCCACCGCGCCTTATTCAGCAAACCGTGGTTAACGGGACTGACGATGCGCGAACAGACTCGCCGTGGGCTTCCCCCCATCCCCTGAGAGAGGATAGCCTGGAAAAGGAGCTTCGGGGAAGGGTTCGAAGCAAACGTTGCAAAGCGAGGATTGAGTTTTTACTTCTTGCGGCGCTTTCCTCTACCCCCGTCTGGCTGTACAGCCTTCGCTCTTTTGGGAAGGGTGAAGGTTTCCAGGCTGGTCTTGTGCTTGGCAGGAGACGGTGAGTTGAGAACTAAGTAGCACCTCCTGAAGAAAAGTCCGACAAGCCGTCACTTGCATGAGCGGGTTTGGCAATCCCCACTTGAAAGTGCAAAATGGTCGGGTTCACCTTGTGATGTGGAATTCAGCTCTGTCTGTCCATTGGAAAATGCTACGAATTGTTGGACTCCAACCCTCCCCTTTCCTACCTTGTTTCAGGGAATCCGAGTCTTCCCTTTTTTCTACACTGAAAACCCTTGTGAGCAACCTGAGCCACTGTGATCTGCTTTCTTTCTGAATTTCTCACGTGGCCTCAGTAATGTGGATTTTCTGTCAATGTTCAAGATTGCCACTGCCATTGCTAGGAATAATCTGCTCTTGGCTTTTTGTACTAGTTCTTTGTTTATTCACAGGAGGCCTCTTGGCCTCTGGTGATAGCTCCCAACAGAAGGGTCCTGAGCTTCCGCCACCGGTGCTGTAGTCTAAACGCTTTTTTGCCCCAGGCTGCTGGAATGGATCCTGGATCATGCTGGGGCAGCAGACTTTTGAAGACTGTGAAGTAGAAAGCTTTTGAGACAAGCTGTCTCTGCTCCTCTAGTTCTCTTAGTAGGGAACTAAATGTACAGCCTCAAAAGTTTTAGGGCTTACTCTGGAGTGCCAGGAGTCAGAGCTTCTGATCCACGAGGAACAGACTTTTCTGACAGCAGAAAATTAGGTAGGGGGAAAGTAAAAGTTAGTGAGCTGTAACATTTATTCTCCATCCCCACCCCAAGAAGCTTTGAAAACAGATCAGATAAATAGGTTCTGGGCAGTGCGTGTTTCAGAGCTGAGTTGTTAACAAGGTTAAAAAGACTTGTTAGAAGGAATAACTTTCTGGGGTTGAGGTTATTCTGTAATTGCTTCTGGCTCCTTCTGGTCTGGTCTTCGCTCATCCTTATGTAACTTTTGAGAACTGAGCTATTTACTGGAATTGAGGTTCATTCTTTTACCGATTTGGTATATTCATATACATTCTTTTTCCCCTGGGCAGTTAAGGCACTTCGCATTCAAATGCTAAGAAAATGGTACAAAAGACAAAACAGTAACGTTCTCATGGACTCTCTGGCATCTGTGTTGTGAGCTTCTCCCCTTGTTGTTCCTTTGGCCTTACCCTTGGCCACAAATCCCCCCCCCTTTCCTTCTTGTAGTCTATGTACTTTTTGATCAAGTGATCCTCAAGCCTCTGCATGAGGGATTTGTTTGTTTGTTTATTTGTCACATTTATATAGTTGCCCATCTCATGTAGTGACTCTGGGTAACATACATAATACAACAATCCAAGTACATCAAAACATTAAAATACAACCAAAATAAATTTAAAGAGACAAAAATAAAATGGCAAAAAAACATACTAGAGAGTGGGTTGCAATGAACGATCATATAACCATCCAGCAGGCTCCACTGTATCACGGGATCCCCAAGGCAGTTGACAAAACCATGTTTTAGAGGTCTCCCGGAAGGCCAGCAGGGTTGGAGCCAGCCTCACCTTGGCGGAAGGATGTTCCACAGAGTGGAGGCCACGGCAGAAAAGGGTTTCCTCCTAGGTCCCACCTGACAAAATTCCTTGGCCAACAGGATCTGTAACATGCCTCTCCTGCCAGACAAATAGGTATAACTGGGGAGAGGCAGTCCCTCAAATAACCTGGTCCCATGCCATGTGGGAATTGTGTTTCTGATTACAATCCAGTGTTTATGCACAAACCCCAAGTTTGGACAACTCAGCAACCCTTGTTTGCTGGTCAGTGGAGGAGACCTGCCCTGCTCCCCTCTATTTTTGCAGGCCTAGTATTCTTTCTGGCAGGGAGGGAAGAGAGGTTATTCTCTCTAATGCGCCCTCTCTGGTGTAGCCACTCATTTCTCCTGCCAAATGGCAGAGGAAAGCTGGGAAGACAGTTGCCCTTTCCGGCCTTCTGTATTGTAAAGTCCCCAGGTGGCTCTTTGGGCAGTTTGGAAAGTGTTTTCTTACATGAATTACCTTTCCTCTGATTTGTATCTTTGTTTGCACAGGACTCTTCCGAGCAAAAGAATGCAGACGATAAAGTGCGTGGTGGTTGGTGATGGCGCTGTGGGAAAGACCTGCCTGCTTATCAGCTACACCACAAATGCTTTCCCGGAGGAATATATCCCCACAGTGTTTGACAACTACAGTGCTCAGATGACGGTGGATGGCAGGATGGTTAGCCTTAACCTCTGGGACACGGCCGGCCAAGAGGAGTATGACCGTCTGCGCACCCTCTCCTACCCGCAGACCAACGTCTTTGTGATTTGCTTTTCCATTGGTAGCCCCTCCTCTTATGCCAACGTTCGGCACAAATGGCACCCTGAAGTCTCCCACCACTGTCCCAATGTGCCAATTCTCCTGGTGGGCACCAAAAGGGACTTGCGGAGTAACACAGAGGCCGTGAAAAAGCTGAAGGAGCAAAGCCTGGGCCCTACTACACCCCAACAGGGTACTTCGCTAGCCAAACAGATTGGAGCAGTCAAATACTTGGAGTGCTCAGCGTTGAACCAGGAAGGGGTAAGGGAAGTGTTTGCGGAAGCCGTGCGTGCCGTTCTCTATCCCGTGACGAAGAAGAACTCCAAGAAGTGTCTTCTGTTGTAGTCAGCAAGAAGAGCACAGCGCAGACCGAAGGCGTGGGGTGTTTGCAGGCCGTTTCCTTAAACTAATTGCATCTTGCACTAATGGCTTTAAAGAGAGATTTCCTTCAGCAAGTACTCCAGCAGTCCAGCTGCCACTATGAGCCAACAGAAAGGAACATATTGGTTCTAGCCTTAAGGATCAGCCTCCCTGGTGAATTCTCAGTGTCCCTTCTTAACATAATTCTCCCCCTCTTCTGTGGAGGAGCCTAAAGCTAGGGAATTCCTTCAAAGCCAAATGTTTCTCTGCTCAACAAAACTAAGATAAGGTCTTTTGGAAGGAGACAATAATCTGCTTTGCTTTTCGCATCAATGTTGCTTTCTGTGTTTGCTCTCCAGTCACCTGTCTTACATGTAGGGCAGGGCTGTGCCTTTCCAGTAGCAGAATCTGTCTGTCACAGTTTTCAAAAGCACCATACACATTTTAAAACATCTCCATTATTGCAGGCAGGCATAATGACAGGCCTTGCAAACAATGAGGGATGAGCAATTTCTACAGGGTCTTAATAAGATCAAAATCAGTTTATGTCCTTTGTGGAGTATGTTACAAGTCTGGATTCGCTCAGGCAGCTGGGGTTTTGGCTTTCAGAGTTTGGAAAGCTGAACTATAATAAGTGTCCTGCCCACTGACTCCCACATTGGCCCCTTTCTCCCAAACACACACACACGGCCTAGATTAACCGTACTCTGCACTGGTTGACCTCCAGGCACTCTGATGATTTTTCTGCACTGGCATTTCCAGTGTTCTCTTTCCTTAAATGCCATGATTACCTTCGGCCTTGTAAACGAATCTTGGGGCGAGAAATTGCCTGCTATGCAGGATAAAGTTGTTTTTCCCCCCTGCCACCAAGCCTTTTAAAAGTTGGGCTGCTTCAGAGCAGCCGTTTTGTGTGCCTTCTGTCCCCCTTTCTCCCTTGCAGATAAAACTCAGTAACTATTTTTAAACATTCAGGTGTAAGTGCTGTTAAACTGATGCACTGATTTAGTAGAAGCTTAAATCTTTCTAGGCCATTGGTACCCATGTAGATGCATAAGAGCAGGGTCTAACATTGCCTGAAATATTAACTTTGCCTTCTTTAGAATGAATTATGCAAGTTTTTCTCTTGGAAACATGAATCTCTATTTAGCATCATGCATTTTTTTCCCTTTTGCAAAAGTAAGAGACTCTAGAGCTGACTGAGCCCATTGTTGGGCACATTCGGCTGATTAAGGAAAGCCAGATGCTTCCCAGCATCTCTTTCTGGACAAGATGCTATGAGTAACCTCTCCAGTGTGCTCCTTAGGAAGAATGCAGAGATGTAACCTTCCAATTAATTACGTTCTGTATTCTGGCTGCGATCCTGATGTGCCGGTGACAAGGAAACTTTGCCTGAATGTAGAAATGTATTACTTGGGAGCTGTCCTCTCTGCATTGATGCTGGTGTCACAGCTAGATTGGTGACTTGTGCTATTCTCATCCTCGGCAGGCAAATCTGACTAGACTGCTATAATAGCCATGTTGTGGTCTCCTTTCTTTTCCCTTTGCCCTGGCCGAGATTCTGGGGCTGAACTTTCTGCCCTATATCTGACCATCCTCAGGGTATGTAGCGATGCAAACTTGTTTCCAACCAGGTTATGATGTTAACGAGAGCTTGGTCTCGCTAGCACTGCCAAATGCCTTCTGAATACGCTCCGTTCGCAGCTCTGTCTCCCTCGTGCCTGACAACGTGTGGCCGGACACTGCCGGGCAATGGTCTCCTCTCGGGGAAACAGGCTTCTCCAGGCGGAGCTGTGGCTTCGAGTGACAGTTGAGGTTCAGGGAGCCTGACGTCATCATGTGGTACTTCAACATACACTGGCAATTGATTTTACAGTTTAAAGTACATTTGTACAGCAACTAACGGAGTTATTTTTAAATTATGCAGAACGAAATTGTAATAAAGCAGTTTTTTTGGTTCCTTTCGAGGGTCGTCTTCATTGCAGGAGGCGGGATGGGGAGGGCGGCTCCTTTCCGCAATCCTTCCGGGCCCTCGGGACCTGGCTGGGCCCCCAGCCGCGACTCGGCCCTTCGGGCGGCTTCCCGCTTCGTCCGATCGCGGAGTTCCGCGCGCCCGCCCGGGCCCACAGGTCCCGTCATCCGCAGCCTGGCCGGAGAGGCC